CAGACATCAAGCAAAGCTTGATCAGTGCATCTCTCAAAACAACAACAAAACAGCTTTAGACTGAAATGATCCAATCAGAGGCTGACACTCCGGCTTTCTCTCCTAAAAATTCAGGTCAGTCGTTGTTGCTATACACCCTTTTAGGGGTGGAGGGGGTTATGCCATATGCCAACAAAACAGAAACAAATGACCAACAACATATGAGGAGGGGGCGACAGAAGATAAAGAGGAATTTCAAACAGGAAGCTGCAACATTAATGCACCATGAGCCTACTGACTGGTAGCAGAGCAGAACGTGGCACCCATAAAAAAGCAGTTTATCACTGTAAACAATATGTAAAAGATGAGATGACAAATGTTCATTGCTAAATTATTATAAAAACAGAAGGATAGAAAACATCAGAGTTTGCAATTTAAAGCTAGTTAGCAGCCTTTGTGTGCAATTTGTCATTAAAAACATGGCACGTTGTTATCCAAAGAGGACACAGTGATAAAGTTAATGGAGAATATTTGTCAAGAGTGATATTTCGTTGTGATACATCAGCCGGCATTAGCACCTTTAGCTAAATACGTCAACTTTTAATGTGTGGCATTAGTCGGTTTGGCTTTCATAAAGTTTATGCTTACTTCTGAGAAGCACTTAAAGGAAAAATAGAAAGAAAGAACGAAGAGAAAACACACGGTTAACTTGAGATATAGAAGTTGCAGCTCTGTCTGCGTCCATTGTAAGCAGGTGACCGAACTGGGAGCTAACGTTTCCTAGCCAGGAAAAACTTGCCGCTCAAAAAAAAAAAAACCCGGTGAACGATTAAAGCAGCCTGAAAACATCATAGCCTTATTTCCACACCGTGCGGCAAAAACAACTGAAACGACAGCAAGTTAACCTTCTGTTTTCGCTTACCCATCTGGGCTCTCAAGCCCTTGAGCGTCGTAGTACTCTCCGCCATTTCTATGAAGTTTTCCCTCTGTGTTTTTTTTTTCTACACCAGGGGCGCGCGACACAGCGGCACAGCCGGTTGGACTCAGACACCGCGGGTACGTGGACATCAAAGATGGTTGAAGGTGAGGTCTCACTCTGTCCCATTTACATAAAACCATAACACAAAGCAAGGCCCGACAATGTCCTAATATAGTCACGTTAACTCAATTCTAAAAAAGGACAGCTATACAACTCATGTGTAATGAAACAGCATTTATTTTTAAAGTAATAAATTCATGGGTAAATAATATAAAATATATCAAGAGAAAAAAATGAAGTGCTGGCGGCAGATCAAATAGGCTATATAAACATACAGGTACACACAAGTAAAAAAAAAAAAAAGGTGAGAACTCAAAGTATAACAATAAACAAGTCGACAAGCTCAACATACTGCTGCAAATATAGGTAAATGCATCAATGTTTTTCACAATTTCTATAATTTCTAGCAAAATATTTGGCTACTAATTGTATTTAAATGCGTTCTTTATATTATTTTTTCATGTTTCATTAAGTGTTAAATACATTTTCTCGAACTCGACTTCCGTCCAGTTTTTCTGAAAACGTTTTTAGCACTTCATCTGTTCAATAAACGATCGCGCATAAAGAAAGAAGGAGAAAGGCGAGTCAACTACGGTAATATCCTATTATGATTCAAGCGCCCTCTGGCGTTCAGAGAGTGTATTTCACCTGCCTAAAAAAGTTTTTAAGTTGCAATATATATATTTATAAAAAAAAAAAAGGCCCCATTCCAGTACTATTGTTTAAAACATATCAGCTTATCCTGGTGTTATTTATTAATTAGGATAGAACATTTTATTAATTTCAGACGTTGGGAACTATAAATTAAGAACACTTTTATTATTATAACAAAAAAAATGAATAAACAGTTTTCAACATAAGTTTGACAAGAAAGAATAGAATAATTTAAACGCTTACCAGATTTAATGTGCCAAATAATTTCTAGAGATGATCAATTCACAGGCATCTCCCAATAAGAGGATTTGAAAATGGTTTCAGAGCTCAAGTTATTCTCTTTTACCGTGAACACAGTATTCTCTGTCCGGCTTTGTCTCACATGCTTTAGCCAGAGGGCTGCTAACCCTGTTTACTTTGTAAACAGGCAAAAACCCTTGCTTAGAGCTGTGACTGAATTAAAATGGATATAATATAAATTGTTGACAAAACACACAAAGTCTGAAATCTGTTTCTTTTGTACTACTGCATTCTGATACTTATATGTCATTTGTAGTTTAGTGTCTTAAGATTTTCAGCATTTATTTACAAAGGAAGTTAGTGTAGTCAAACCTCTTATGAATGATCAATTTACATTCATTAATATCACATTTCACTCGGAGACTATTTTTTCCGGTATTTTCTATTGTCCTTTTGCTCCAGGAGTAGGTACAGGTATACACTGTGATCAGGTGACTGGTTCATCATCTAAAGCAGATCAGGGTATAGTTCAAGTCATGGGAACACATCCTCAGGGTGTAAGCAATCACTTGTTCACCAGAGCTCTGTATATCCTTGAAACAACTTCAAAATTAGGAAGGAGTGCAGCGGCCTGGGCCAGTTGAGGAAGCTGAGTGTAGGTGGAGGTACGGAGATACTGAAAAAGGTCCTGGAAACTGTGAAAATGAGCAGTGAGCTGAGGGGGCACACCCAAAGACAGCCCCAGCTTCCTTAAAATGTAAAGGTGGTTAGGAGAGTCGAGCAGCAGGGACAAATCCTGAATGGTGTCATAGTTCAGTATCTCAATACTCTGACCTGAATAAATACAGAACAGAAGTCACAGGAAAAAGGTTTAACAAAATAAAAACTCATCCAATTGAAGAACTTTAAAACCTTTTTATGGCAGAAATATATCAGAGAACATAAAGTACGTACCTTGGGCAATCTCCCATATTCTCTGCAGTTTTTGCTCCATCTGAAGTCGATATAGAAAAATAGTCATGGTTACTTTTTTAAATATATAAATAATTGAACTTTATTGATCTCACACTGGAGAAATTTACCTCTGCATTTAACCTATCCCCTTGGGGAGCAGTGGGCTGCTATTGTGCAGCGCCCAAGGAGCAGTGTGGGGTTAAGGGACTTACACAGGGAGCCAGAATGCAGGCTGTGGGGATCAAACCGGGTACTTTGCAACCTTCTCAGAGCACCAGCTCACTGCTCTAATCACTAGGCCAACTCTCCACCTTTGTTTGTTCAGTATCTAAATTATTTTTATTTGATCATAAAGACGGAACACAGTGATTTAGAATAATCTTGACCGTATCAACTACTCATTTATATTGATACTCATAGGCACAGAGAAAAGCAAGATGATGCTGAAGTTTTCCCTAAGAAAATGCCTCTTACTGCCCTCTGGTGTTTAACTGGTTCAAAAACCAGAGCACATTACAGACTGATGTTTATTTATTCACCCTCATCCTTTTAATGCGGCTTTTCACTGTACTTTAGTAACTAGGATAATCATTCATAATAATATATAAATCCTTTATATATGATTATATATCAACACTGCTTCAGCGTGTGTTCAGAGGACTTTTTTTCTTTTGTTTTGTAATTTCTCAGGTCAGACATTGATGTTAGATGACATCAGTTTTAGATAAGAATTTTGTGCAGATCAGACACTTCCTTCCTGCACTGCATCCCGGAGAAGGGTAATTCCAGCTCCAGAAAGTAAATTTCCCCATCAAGACTTCCTGCATCCTTTGCTTTGGACATGGAAACACAAATATTGGAGGTAATCTCTGTTCAAGCTTGTTAATTTCTGAACCTGGATTACACGCCTCTGCTGCATCTATTTAATTCTAATGTACCTGGTGATGTAAGACTTGATGCATCTGCTTGGCCATGGAAGAAACCCCCAATAGAATGTTATTAGCTTTGCAAATAAGTTGGATCCAGTGAGCCTGGTCTGTGGTTTGAGCCATTTGCAACTAACTCGCTTTTTTCCGGATCATTTTTTGTTGTAAAATTGCTAACAGCAGACTGTGTAATAAATAGCATAGAGAAAATGTTTTAACTAAACTTACTTGACATCCTATCATGGTACCCCACAAGATTGAATAATGGTCAAAGCAACCTGCATACCTATGTGTCTGATTTTACATACAGGATAATAGAAGTGATTAGAACAAAAAAAGTCTGCGATTTAAATGAATGAATCAATATTTTGGGCAAACTGATGTAAAGGGTTAAAAGCAAGTTAATCAATATTCAGAGTAAAACTCTCTGCAACATAAGAAAAATACAATCGTTTCATCAGAGTATCCTGAAGTGTTTTTTAAACGTAAAAGTTATTTAGAATTTACTTTAAAACTCAAGTTTGAAAGTTATTTGTCCAAACCTGAAGACAGAGCTCAGTATTTTTGCAAGATTCTCAGAGTTTTAAGAAGGAAAACAAAATACCTCCTCTGTATTAAAGCCTGTTTGTCCGTCCTGCATGATGTTATCTTGTTTCTGACTGCAGGGCTTGATGTTGGTGGTGACATTAATCACGATAGAAGCTGGATGCAGCTCACTCTCATGGTTCAGTGAGTTCTGCCCTCTGGGTATGGATGTACCGGTAGTTAAAAAAAAAACATTTGACTTAGATTCTATGAATGCTTATTGTAATGTTCTTTGTTCCAGCATTTACAGAAAATGTACCTTGTATCTTCGGTTAAACTGGTCTCTAAAGGTGTGTCTTGTTGCGTTGCTTTCCCTGTGTGACCAGAGGGACACTCGTACCGAAGGTTTGCTCCAGACAGTAACCCCTCAGGTTTTATACATCGTTCAGGAATCTGCTCTGAACGAGGTAATGTGTTTAGAATCTGACATATCCTAACCATGCATAAATAAGACAGCAAATATGGCTGAAATATTAAAAATAATCTTACTTACTGAATCTTTTAGCAGTCAGGAGGACAACCCAAAGTAACGGAGCAATAAGAAGAAACAAGGAGGCTATTACAGCACCAATAAGGCCAGCAGAAATACTTTCCTCCTTCATTCCTAAAAGGAGAACAATTAAGCCAGTCATGCTAAAGTCATGAATAAGAAATAAAAGAAATTGCATTTTTCTCAGGGTTCTGTGGTCATTCAACCAACATCAGTGACTTTTATATATCTTTCCAAATACAGTATATTTTTATTATATTTAATTCCAAAGAAATTCAAACATTTTATTAATTCAACTTATATGATAATTCTAATTATGATAATAAAAATAAAAATACAAACAACAAATAAGAAAAAAAAAAAAAAAACATTGTTCAAATAAATCATTGAATGCCCCAAACTTTGATGATATCAAAGAACATTAAGATTGCATGTAAACCTCCCTCTGGAACTGTGAAACTACCTGTTTCGGTCTGTTTGTCCGACTTTCCAACAGGTAACATGATGGCGCTCTCTGTCAGATGTCAAAAATGACAGTTTTTAGACAATTATCAATACATACGAAAAGTTAAACATAATGTTTCCACTGTTGTGTCTGTGAGTTTTGATTCATACGCGCTTTAGAGCCTCGAGATGCAAAGCTTCTACACTCTTTATGGAGTGTATCCTGGCTCTCACAAGGAATACATAGCAGCTCCACTTCCCCTGTCATGCTCTTAAGTTCATAATATCTGCTCATAAAACACATACATACATATATATATAGGCTTTGAAATACTAATAAAATGTAGCTGGGTTTTGCTTCAGCATTGTGGATGGGACTCACCCTGGGAGACACTTCCCACACATAGTGTCACTGGTGGGAAAACAATCGGTCAGCATATGGCGGTTCAGCAGGTTGCACTGAGTGCATCTCCTGCAGGGCTCCACACCTGTAACTGTGCTGAAGGTCCCCCTTTCACAGAGAATGCAAACCCCATCTCCACCATAACCAAAGCCACAATCCTGAAAACAAACATGGTTTAGATTTAGTCAACAAATTTAATTGCAGGAAATCATGCAGCTAAAAGGTGGTGCATTACCCCGGATAGCTGCTCTCCAGGCTTACAAACAGGGCATTCAACACAGGTGCCATTTTGGTGTAAGAACTCTGTCTGATCACATCTGGGCTCAGATAGCACCTATGCACACAAAGATCAGGGATTGTCAAAGTTTAGAAACACACTGGTAAACGTTTTGCAAGCCATCCTTACATCCATTCTTGTTTTTTATCATCAGCATATGATGCCTTGCACAAGATTTACCACCTAAAGTTCCTCACAGGTTTTCACAAACACAACATTCAGCATATTTTTATTGATTTTGTGATAGACAAGCACGAAGTATTGCATCATCTGAAAACTATTAAATAAAACTCAGATAATGCATATTTAATAGTTTGGTAAAGCTTACTTATTTAAAATACATAATTGTGAGGTTTATTATTTAGAATTAGTAAAATATACATAGTTTGAATATTAAATATTGTTTGAATAGCATAATAATCAGGTAACATTTATGCCATTTAAACAAACTATTTTATGTATTTGAAATAAATACATTCATTATTATTAATTCTAAGTAAGTATATTTTATTTATACTAAATATATATATTTAATAATTATGTATTTCAAATAAATAAGCTTTATCATTCAAATTACTATTCAAACTGTAAGCTTTATTTAATAGGTCTAATTTAAAATTATCTATTAAATTCAGTTTATTTATTTAGCGCCAATTCACCACATGTCATCTCAAGGCACTTTACAGAGTTGATTCAACCAGATCATACAGTCAGATCGGTTCAAAGTTTTCTATCTAAGGAAAACCAGCTGATTGTATCAACACAAAGATGCTTGTAGCGACAGTGGAGAGGAAAACTCCCTTTTAAAAGGAAGGGGGGAAAAAAGAAAGAAAAAAAGTAAATGAGAATTTGCTATGAAATTAAATTGCTTTAATCTTAAAATTTTGGAGAAAATTCATGCAACCACAATTTATTTGATTCAGCTATGTTGTACGGTTGTAAGGCCTTGAGGATTGACGTTGAACAAAAGTGGACTTGACATTTCTAAGACCTGGATATTATACATATAAGTTCGTGGTCTGAAACTCCTGCCCTCTGAAGCTGCTTTAGATGTTTCAAACGCATGCATTGAATTCCCTCCTGAGCATTTTATTCCGGTGTGTTGAAGCATAAAATACAATTTAGAGGGCACTGGTCCCAGAGGACTTAAACTTGAGAACTTTTGATCTACAGCATTTCATTGGAGCTATGGGTTTATTTAAGTTGAAGTTGTTATTACAGTTGAAAATTAGCTACTTAGCTAACACTGGCTCATTTACAGAAATGTTTATTAATGTGCACTGTCCCTGTTCAAATAAACAGAAAGGAAGGAAGGAAGGAAGTAAGTCTTGCTGGAAAGTGCTGCTCTAAAAAAGTCATTGTGTTTTTGTATGTGCAAAAGCTATTTATTAAATTTTTTTATAGCCAAGAGTTTTTCTTTCTGTATTTTCCTGTATTCAGTTTTATCCACCTAAACATAAATGCCCTGTTCCTGCTGAATGATGCTTTCATTCCCACAGTGAAACATGAATGTTTTTGAGTGTTACTCACTCTTTACGTATTTCAGATGCAACAAAACTTAAACGTTAATCTCTTTCTGATTAGAATGTGATGTGTCGTCCGGGATGCTGTTGATTGCTCAATAGAAAACTCATGTAAACAGATGTGTTCATGCTAATATAAAATCAAACACATGTGGACGCTGAACTAATTAGGCAAATTTTAAAGGAAATTGTTTGCACAGGATTTCCTTAAGGGTGATGACAGGGTAAATATGAGTTCAAGTGACACCGTTTAGATTCATATTTGTAGATATAATGTAGAAAAATAGGTAATATTTTATACACTTCATTATGATGCACTTCTTTGTATTTGTCCATCACAAAAAAATAGTTGGTTGCATTACATAACACAATGAAACGCAGGAAAAGTTCAAACACATTAACAGAACATTCAGCCAAACTCTTCACTGTCATCCAATTGATAGCCTCTGAAAGAGGAAACTAATAAATGAACAAACATACCATCATTATGAAGGAAGTTCCAATCAGAAAAGTAAACATGGCTTCAAAAAAACACACACAACCTTAAAAAAGATAAAATGAGTTCAGATGTTAAAAACATTTTGTGAAAATAACAGATAGAGTCAAAATTTTAATCACTTACAGAATTCCAAAAGATCCAAATATTTTGTTATATAGGTATAATTTTTAAGTGTTTTTCCTGATCTCAAACATCTCCCAAACTTTCTTCGAAATTTTGAAGAGGAAGGCAATGGTGGGAAAGAGCCTTGGGAAATCCCTTTTTTTTAACCTCACTAGTGACGCAGTAGGGGTTCCCAACCAGAGATAATCAGCCTTTAGATCCATTGATATAAGTCCCCAAAATGGGCACCCAACGTCACACACCAGTTGGTCGTATCAGATTCTCTCATGGGGAACCTTCTTATTTTAGTCTGGAGCACTAAAATGAAAAGGAAGGACAAAAATAGATGAATGGGGCCCTTGTTTGCAACATAGGGTCTTTGTTTGTCTTAGTGAGTCTGTGTTTCTGGGGTCAAATTCTACTGTAAGCAATACCTTGCTGCAGTCTCGACTCATATGGTGGGTAACAGAGGGTGCACAACATCACTGAATTCAAAAAGTTGCAATACAAGGTTTTACCACTGGATGGGAAAAAGAAGAGGTAGAAGGAAAAACAACACAAAGCACCAATTTTGATGAAAAATGTGTCTTGGTAATAGTGTAAAAAATATCTTAGAACACACAAATTGTCAAACCTTTTCAATGTCGTAGTGACCTTTTCTTACCCTCAGACATTTACCACTGAAAGTCATTTTATGTGTCATGGAAAAGGCAATTAAGTTTGTTTGGATAGTTATCACTTGAAGATAACCCTCAAAGCATAAGAATATTAAGTTGAACTCATGACTTGATAAATCCTCTGGACAAACATACACAGAGGAGCAGAAAAGAAACGTCAACATGATGTGGCTGTCACCATGGTCACTTATTAAGACATAAAACATTAAACACTTGGCTGAAAAATGTTTCTGATTCTTTAATCAATGTATTTGTGGAAGCAGCTAAAGGATTATTTGTTGTTTTTTTTGCAATGAGACAGAGATCTATATCGTGGTCTTTCAAATTGCAAGAAACAAATTGTCAACATCGCCATGAAACCTTATGAAACGTACAAAAGATATTTTTTTTTTGTTTCATAAGGTTTTGTGTTAAGCAATATCATGTTTGTTGGTTAATTTTACTGCTTGTGATTAATGAGTAACTCAAGCAACCAAAGGGAGAGGGAGTGGAGATGTTCCCATAGAGTAATAAAGAGGTATTTTCTAGATGTCATGGCCCAGGCAGCTTCTTGATTGAGGTGAGAGCTGACTTTTTTCTTTTCTTTTCTACCATCAAACTGGATTATTGTTGAGGTGGGAAGATGGTGGTAAGTTAGCTTTATTTTACTCAATGTAGTCATGCAGTCATGGATACATCCTTTGCATTTGATTATTTCTTGAGAAGAAAGCAAATAAACAAAAACATGACTAATTTTATTTTTCTCTTGCAGCACATGAAAACTTGGTTTCTGCAGTCCTGAGGTTATTTCTATTAGTTATTGCTGTCATGAAGTCAATTGGAGGCCTAACGCCACTGTTCATCTGTTTGTCTATACTGATCCTAGTGTGTCCTCTAGTTTCAGGTAAGAATAATATTGCATATGGCAGCAAATCTGCTATCTATCTATCTATCTATCTATCTATCTATCTATCTATCTATCTATCTATCTATCTATCTATCTATCTATCTATCTATCTATACTGCAAAAAATTAACATTTAAGTAAGAAATTTTTTATTATTTTATTTTTTATTATTGCTAATTGAACAGAACAATTTACATTTAGAATAAGAAAAATCAACTGCAGTCTCTTATTTCAAGTGCATATTATCTTATTTTAAGGGTATAAATGCTCATTATTACTTACATTAAGTAACCAGATAAGGAACAGCTGTAGTTTCTCATGGATTGCCATACGCAAGATTATCTTAATTAGATTTAAAGTCATTGAAAGAACCAGAATTTCTACCAGCAGGAATACAAGGAGAATCAATTAAGATGTATAGTTTAGAAATATATCTAACATGCCTAATCCACACAGAGTACTAGGCTAAGGACATGGAGAACAAAAAAATAAATAATGAGAATCAAGGGTTATTTTTAAGTCCTTCACTACTCTGGCTCTAAAAAACTCTATATAGTGCCAAATAAAGTGTTTTTTTTTTAAATCATATATTTTAATTTGACACTAAGCAACATCTGCAGGTATTTTTCCGGATAAAAAACTGGTAGGTTGTGTCAAGTTACATTTTTCTGAAGCCCTCCATCTGTTGTGTTGTAAAAACTGCTTCCACTCTTTAAAAAGTAACTTGTATAGATCATTACATGCTTTCTGCCTTGGGTGAAATGATGGTAGTAGGGATGGGCTAACACACACTGGTCTTTAGGCCAGCATTGAAGAACCCTGTGATGTTGTCTGCTAAGACGGCTTCCAACACAACCCAATCCTGGATAAAGTGGAAGATGATGTGTAGAAATCTTTGGCTGTGTATGATAATTCACATCTTGTTTTTATAAAGGCGTTGATTATTCTGCTTCCTAAGCCAAACATAATTTATTAATCTATTTGCCATTATTTGTCTAATGTGTTACTTCCTTGGTTTGTTACCCACATCTAGCACATTTTTTTATGTCAGTTGGCTTATTAGAAATCAGTTTACTGTGAAAGCCACTAACACGTTGCTTATTAATGCATTCATTGCTCTATTCATGGGTCTCTAAACCCTTTGTTCATTATTTTATACATTTGCAGCAATGTATGCCGAGACTAATAACTACTGTTTAGATTATCATCTGTCTTTTCTGTGTCTTTTAAGCAGCCAGCTCTGCTTATGCCAGTTTGTGGGGAAAGAAGTTGGAGTTCAAAGGCCCCCAGTGTCTTTGGCAGCTCCGACCAGAAGTGAAGGTTCCAGCTCTGACAGAGCTGAGCATCTGCATCCTTTTAAAACGTACTCTCTCAACAGAGTGGACAGGATTTCTTTATAGATCTAGAGACTCCAAACTGAGAGAGTTGGGACTTGGAGGCAAGGCTGACATCTTGAAAGTTTGGCTTTTTGGAAAACAATACAAAATATATAAGGAAGTCGGAACAAAGGAATGGAATTCCATCTGTCTTACATGGTCTGCTGAACACCAGAGACTGCGGGTTTACTTAAATGGAACCATCCTGAGAGAAGAACCTGTTTTTTCAGTAGATACACACCAGCAACTGGGACAGCATGGCACTCTGACTCTGGGGGTGTCTCATATTATTCGACCTGATGGTGAAGTGCAGCCGGAGAGCGCTACCAACCTGCTTGGTGAGATAGGTCTATTCAGAATGTGGGGGAGAGAATGGAGCGCTGAGGAAGTGAGCAGCCTGGGCTGCGCAGACGGGGACGTGTTGAGATGGGATCTGCAGCAGTGGCAATATGACTGCCCTCCTGTGCCTGACAACAATCTATACTGCAGTTAGTATTCGCATTTTTTTTTCTGATATAATTGATGATTTAGGTCTGCAAAGGGATTGGTGTTAAAAGAGTAAAGCTTAGTGAACTTTTTTATTACAGGGCTCTTTAAAGTGACAGGTTAACACAAATTAACTTGAAATGGAGAAAAAAAATTATCTTAAAATAATAATCTCTAATTTGTCTGACTTTACACCTTAGTAATGATGCTTCTAAATTAATGGAGTGAAGAAAGCGATACCTCAACCAAGAAACAATTCTGAATCAATTAGAGATGCAAAACTATTAGCAGAAATGTGATGGCTATCAAATAAAACTGACAAATCTGATAAAGGCATTATTAAGAGAACCACTCGAGAAATCAATATCAAGCCTAGATGAGCTGTAAATATTTATGGTTTAAGTGGGGGAATAAAACATGGCCCACTTGCTAAATCCGGCATTTACTAAAGAGTGACAGTTGTTGTAAGAAATACTATTACAAGCCATTTTTAAAAGAGTCCTCTG